TTTGAATACTATAAGCGGTTGATTACTAAAACTGAATTTACCGTTATGTCACTTATTTTTTTATGCAGAATATAATCTAATATCAACCATTGGTGTGGTTTTTCAATTAGAAAAATGAAATTAAACAGATAGCTTCCGCATTTACTGTATTTTATTACAGTACCATGCAAGTTCAATTACAGTATACTGCGCTGTGCGCAGACATAACAATGGCAGCCTACGTAATTTATTATGTACTGCTGTACCGCTGTTGCACTTTTTTTTAACAAGTCTGTAAATAAAGTTTGAAACAAATGCTTAATCACAGCACAGTACTGCACAGTGTGTGGACATAATAGCCAATAGTAGGCCTATGTAACTTATTCTGTGCGTGGGCTCTGCTGTGCACCTGGTGCATTTTTTTTAACAAGTCTGAAAATAAAGTTTGAAACAAACGGTTTCATAGAACAACAACATAGAAGATAACTGAATAGGCTACAGAAAATTAAAGCTAGCCTACCTATGTTTTGTGTTGTGGATCTGCTGTGCCGCATTAAGAAATCACTTCACATATTTATCCATGGTTCCCTGGATCAGAGTGATGTCCAACGCTGAGTTCACTTTTTTTTCAAAACGATGTAAAAGGTCACAATTTTTGAAACCAACATGCAGGAGACCAGTCTTTGATATGCAGACTGCATTCCTCATCTTAGGTCTGGAAGGGACAACAGTCTCCTCTTCTTCATCCACCCCCCATGCTGCACGCAGAACTGGTACCCGCACCAAAGCGCTCTTGTACCTCCTAGATGTACACGTAATTTTGAAATTATTTTTACACTCATAAAATGGCCAAAAATGTACACTATAAGCGGATTTCTTGATTACTATAAACAAATTATTTAAACAGTATTTGTATAGAAATGATTCTGTCCCAAGCCTTTTGATCTATATAAGCTGTTGATTACTATAAGCGGATTTTTCTGTATATATTTCAGTCCAAAAGTTATTTTTCCTGGCTTACTCATATTTATTTATTGTTAACAGGTCTCTGAAAGCTGTAATCCTACACCCTTCGTTACCACCTTAGCTAAGAAACAACTTCAGCCTCCATGGTTCAGGCCATCTTGCACAGCTTTGAGTTCCTTGGAGCTCAAAGAGAGCATGTGTGATATTTGTTAATTCATAGGAGCACAATTTGGAAATTAGCTCTTATTTCAGTATGATTTCAATTAAACCCAACATCTCCATCCAAAATGCGGGCAGTTCTAGAATCCTACAAAATTGGTTTGCTGTCAACTTTCATAATCTGCATTCCCTCATGCAATAAAAAGTTGCTCTTAAAGTTGTAAGAAAGAGCTTCTTTGGAAGTTGTTTCAACTGTATCTGATAAAATAATTAAGCCTTTCAAAATACATTTTTCTAACAAGATGACAAATCTGCTTCATTGTATATTGGAGAACATATAGTTTACTTCTAATAATTACATCAAAGGTTATTTTTTTGGGGAATATATGGAAATGATGCTCAAATTTTTTGTCCCTATTAATCGATTGTTTCTCTATTTTACTTTGACTTGCTGGATCTTCTTGACGTACTTTTTCCTGTTTGATACAGGAAAAAAAAATTCATAATTGTGGATCTTGATCTGGCAGAATTCCAGACTAGAGCGGAGTGGAGCAAAAAATACCTTTATTCTGTATTTTGGCATTGAAGGACAGAAAACACATAGCTGGATTGACCTTCAGAGGTGTCACTGTGAATGTGGATTGGTTCTCATTAATTAACTGACTGCCCAGGTGATCTTCCAGACGGATGTGAGCTCAGATTTTGTCATGACTCAGAACAGAGGGACCCAGGATTCAAGGCAAGACAGACAGTGGGATAACTCAAAAAATGTTTATTAAAATAAACAGGATCTGCAGTAGCAGTGGCTAGGGTGTCTAAGACAGGAACTTCTATAGGAGAGAAACACAGGCTAGTGACCACAATAATCTGACAAAGGATGATTATGAACGTGTGAGTCTCTAACCTGGTTTTACAGTTTAGTCTTTGCCCACTAGAAGGCTGCAGAGCTGGCAGGTCAGATCCAAGCAGGTGAAGGAAGGCAGGATAATCCAAAGGGTGACGTCAATAGGCAGATCCAGGTTCAGTCCACAATAGAATGCAACAGGAGTCCTAAGACAGGTCAGGCAGACAGATCAGAAAAGGGGCTGGCAGGCTAAAAGGTCAGAATACAGAAACAGGTCACGATCAGGCAAACGGAACATAAGTAACGCTCAAAAACTCTCTACACCAAATGCTAAAGAATAATATGGCACTTATGGCTGGGACCAGGGGGTTCAAATGAAAGCAGGAGCAGGTGGATCAGATGAGCAGCGATGAGAAACAGGGTAGAAAGGTGAATGAAATGAGAAATCAAGTCAGCCATCATTGCCAAAAAGCATGAAACATTTGTTCAAACTATTCATCACAAGTAGAAAAAACATGTAAAAGAGATTATTCATTTATCCCTTTGTTGATTTAGGTATACATAACAGCACTTCAATGATCAATATACTCGAAAAATAATATGATTTTGGTTAATGTTAAGAGAACTAATGTTAAAATATAGAAAACCTCAGTTGGAGACTAGACCATCTAGCTTTATCGTGGAATGATAAAAAAATTCCTTTAGATACTTATTGCTGTTCTTATTTTTCTTCTGAGCTGCTCTAATGTTGTTTAGTGAAAAGGAGATAAGGAGGGCTCACTAAAAGTTCTCTGAGTAATTTCAAAATGAAATGTTGAGGTAAGAGTTGATTATGAAAACCTGGTTATTAAAGATATACAAGGAAGTGACGGTAAGAGGCTTTGCATAGCCTTGCCATGAATAAAAAACGGTGTTGCTCATTTGGTATTCACTGCAAGCATCACATAGATAGTAGAACTCAACTTTGAACAAAGCTTTGAAGAAATCACATTTTTCTTTTTTTTACCTGGCCTGTAAAGCACCTCCCCATAAACTTTTTAAATTGAGTAAGGGTCTTACGCAACAGTCGGTAAGGTTAACGCATGTTAGACACACAGGTGCATCCATAAAAACATAAAAAAAAAACAGACATGCATGCATGCATGCAGTAGGATTACTGAGGAATAGGGAGAGCACTGGGCCCCTTTTTCAGTAATTTTCCTGCTCTCACATACTGTAGGTTAGATCTGGAAAAAAATGCATTTCATCCATAAAGCATAATTATTCATGTTTTTTTTTAAATCTTCATTTAAGAAAAGTGATACATTGAACTCTATCATTACATATGATAGATTATATATGGTATATGTAATCCCTAGCACTAGATCTGGCCAAACTAAGGCATGGTTATTCTTTTTTTCTAATTTGACTTTTCAATCTTAGCTTAAAATAGTCCTAGAAGCAGTTCCAGTTAAAAGTGTGCAGACAACATTTACAGAAAAAGTTGATCTGATACATAAACTTGATATATTGTTTTTATTTCAATTAATTTTAGACCATTGTTACACTGCTTTTGCAGCTTTACCAGGACAACCCTGAAACCCTAGAACAACTGACTTGACAGAAAGTTAGAAGTTGGAATACAGAGTCTCTCTTCAATTTTGGAGATGACTGTGAATAGTAGGAAAACTGCTTTGTAAGCTGTTATCTTTTCTCTTTCTTATGTATGCTACAGTTTTAAAATCCATGTTATATGGGGCTGTTGGCAGGGAAGTTACAGTAAGGGACTTTTTTGGAAATATATGCGTGACTATATATTTTCTTGTTTTGATTAGTGTGTGTATACTGAAATCATTGGGATTGAAGTCAGTGTTCTCCTACATCATGACCGGGGATATTATTGTTCTATGATGCCATATCCCTTCTTAATTTTTGCAGGGAGATTACGTATTTACAGATTAACTGACTATCTGGGACTGAATCTCAATGTTTTACAAACATCCTCAAGCTATCTCTTATTTATTAACAGAACAGTTAATGAGGACATACTTTTCAGGTTCAAGTATTCTGTATGTGTCCAGATTATTCTGCATATGTCCAGATTACTAAACCATCTGCATAATTAAGTGTGAAATAGAGTGATGCTATTGTGTATTGCTGTAACAACTGGGTCACAATTATGTTTATTATACACCACTGGTAAGCATGCATGGTATACACAATATGATACCTTTGCAATGTAGGTTTTAGCAATGTTCAAAAAATCAGGCTGAGGCTTATGTAATTATCAACCTTAATATAATATAGTGTTTGAAGATTGATGTGAGGGGAAGGTGGGAAGATCTTAAGTGTATGCTGCCCTATATGACAAAGTGGCTCATATCAGAAACTGCCACTGGATATTGGTCTTGCAAAATGGGTTGTTGGACATGTGGCTAGTGAAACCTTACAACCAAAATCAGATTAAACCGTGTCAAGGATACAGATATCGATAACTTAAAAAAAAAAAGTCTTGATCAGGAACCCTTAATTCAAGGGGGCAGAATCCTAAGATTGCAGTTTTTTACTTGAATACTTTCCCTTTTTTACAGGTCAGCCATAAAAGGTTGGTCCTATTTGGAGCCATGTGTTTGATTTGCTGAGGTCTGAAAAGTGCATGAGATTTTGGATGAAGCATAGAAATATGTTTTTCTATTTTTGTGGATTAAAATTCAATACATAGAGAGAAGATGTAAAAGAACTTTATTTTTCTCCCTCCAAGGTAAAGTAAATGAGGCATAAAGTGAAATTTAGATAATGTATAGTAAAGTAGGTATATGCAAGTGGAGATGGGAAGGAACCAACATCATATCAGCAGTATATTTTTGCCTGTGATGACAGTTATGCGTTTCCAAGCAGAGAAAAAGTGTGTAAGTTGTCAGTTGTTTGGTGCTCAAAGATTTTTCCCTTTAGCTCTACTCCATTTCACCTTTAATGTTATGTCCTTTTAGATGTAAACTCTCTTGAAAAAATCCTGGCAATGGTGCTTTTAGTTAATACATTTTCATTTAAACATGTTGCTCTTGTTTTTCAGGAAGTGCTTACAGAGAATGCATGGATAACGGCACATGGGCATTCAAGATCAATTACTCCAACTGCGAGCCTATTTTGGAAGAGAAGGTTAGTGTGTTCACATTCAAAAAAAAAATTCTACCCTTGCTAATTCTTATAACATACTGATTAGCATCACTAGTGACTATTTAACAGAGGAGAAAAATACTTCTGCTTACATAGAAATGCTCATTGAAACGCATTTTTTTAACAATGCACTAATCACAAATGCACAAATGTTGCAGTGCCCATCTTAAACTAACAAAAGCTTTGAATGGTAGTGTTTCTAGTCACTGAGCATTCGACCTTATTACTTCTGATATCTCCACAATCTATTTCCGGAGGTTGCTTTATTTTTTTAAATAATGTTTAGCCATACATCTGAAGTTTGTATGAGACATTGTTTTTGCACTGGAAAAAATTAAAATCTAGATAAATCATCAGATAGACAGACAGACAGACAGACAGACAGACAGACAGACAGACAGACAGCAGCAACAATCTGCTCAACTATTTTTGAAGCTGTTAATAGATTAAAAACCAAAATCTAAAGGACTACAGATATAAAATATATTTGTTTCTCACATATGCATGATTAAGGGCCTCATTTGTAGTGTTTTGTTTACTCTTTCAGATCTAGCTGTAAGACATAATAACTAACATATGGGTTTCTTTTCAGAGAAAATATCCCATGCATTACAAGATAGCCCTGATCATCAACTACCTAGGCCACTGTATCTCTGTGGGAGCTCTTATTGTGGCCTTTGTTCTCTTCTTATGCTTAAGGCAAGTACAAAAATAATCTAAAATGGGACCTATACTCTATGCATCAGATCAGATTGAAGATAATCAGTGAAACTAATGTTGCATCCTAATTCTGCTTGTCATTAACTTGCTCATGTCAGAAAAAAAAAATCTCTGCTGCTGTCTCCATTAAGACAGGCAGCAGAGATTTTTTTTAAGTCTACTTTCTAAAATGTCAGTCCTAAATGCTGCTGTAAGAGCTAGATTAAATAAAATAAACATACTGTACTTAATCACAGCAGCAATATTTTGGGTTTAAAGTGTGAGCACTATGCTATATATACCACAAATAGGTAGTGTGTTAAATCTTACATAGCTTTAAGTAACAACAACCTGTGTTTTAAAGAGTTTAAAGTTGTATTTGAAATAAAGAAACATTTAATTTTTTCCTCTAAGGTATGAACCAATGTAATCAAGCACATGGGTATGATTATATTTTACAATGACTCTGTGAGGACCACTTTGCTGATACCAAATTGAAATAGTTTTATAACAAGCACACCAAAACATTTTCTGTTTCTATAACTCTTATAAGCAAATTAATCAAGGGGTTAGAAAGCAATGGATTTTAGCTTCCTCCTTTTCAGTCCATCCACAACAAATACTTGGATAGATGATTTCTCTCATTCATCTCAGCCATGGGTAGTCAGTGATAATCTATGTGAACTGCAAGTGGAGTATTTGTTGCACTAGTCCCACTTACAGTACACTGTGATCCTTTCATCACATATCTGCTCAATGCATGCCTGACATAATGTTGTTTACTTTATTGTAAATCAGGGTGGGCAGCTATTTTTCCCAGAGGTTCATATGACTATGATTTTCAATGACTGCCAGGCAATTGTTAAGTCAATAATTCCATATATCAATGTGCTGATAATAAAATCTGCTTATGGTTTTGTTTTGCCCTAGTCAGTCACTGAACCTCAGTAACGTATTACAATGTTCCATGTAATATGTAATGTAATAGTTTACATTTTGCTGATGCAAACTATTATATTTTAGAAATGCAATCCTTAATGTGCAATATTTTATGCATATTTAGTCCAACAATAACAAAAGACATCATTTTCTAAAAAACAACAAATGAACCAGTTTAGCAAAAAATAACTTTTAAGATAAAATCATTATTTTTTAATTTGTGAACAGCATTAACATATAGCCATATTTAAACTTCAGATTTTTTTTATTGGCCATTACAGACCAGTCCATTTCATCTAGTAAACTTAATGTAGGGTGCTAAAATGCCTAGATCTTTCCTAAAGGGTGACATTATTAGCTCATTTGGGTCCTGAAATATAAGATGTCTTGCTTTTGAGAATCAGTGTGAAGCGCCTATTTTGATTTGAGTTCACATAACATTGAGAGGAATTTGAGCCTTTTTCTTTCACTTTGTCACTATTGGGATTTCATATTAGCCATTCTTACCCACATATTGTCATGTTTGGCTTAATATGTTTGGCTCACATGCAGAAACACACTCGGCAGCAAGGATGCTGACTGAGTCCTGACACATATATGCCAAAAATCACACACATGTGGCTATATAGGGACTTTATGAATTAACTTTATCAAAAAATATAATTGAAACATCTCCATTTGGTTTATGCTATAGGAGCATACGATGTCTTCGAAACATCATCCATTGGAATTTGATTACTACCTTCATACTGAGGAACGTTATGTGGTTTTTGCTTCAGTTGATTGATCACAACATCCATGAGAGTAATGAGGTAAGTACACTGTTTTTAGTAGTAATCACAGTGGAGAAGAGCTTAATAACATGTAATCAATAGTTTTGGCAAGTGAAAACTATTCCAGTATGAAATAAGATTATTACCCTATTTCTTTTGGCTAACTGCATCTCTCTTTTTCAGCCTTGGTGTCGATTAATTACAACAATATACAACTACTTTGTTGTGACCAACTTCTTCTGGATGTTTGTTGAAGGATGCTATCTTCACACTGCTATTGTAATGACTTATTCTACTGATAAGTTGAGAAAGTGGGTCTTCCTTTTCATTGGTTGGTGTAAGTATGCTCCTGATTTAATGCCATACATATGGCAAAGCATAGTAAGGTTTATGTTTTTTTTTGTTTTGTTTTTTTACAGTATATTTTAATTTGACACAGATTAAAACACAGTTAATTAAAATACAGGTTTATATGGGTGTTAATAGGAGTGCAGGAGCTGAGCTCTGGGGCTAGCAATGTTGTCTTTATATATTTAAAGTACATTAATGCAAATTAGCACATATCTAGGAGAGCTGTCACTCCTTGAACTCTGCGAAAAGACACCAGACAGCGAGTGAAAAACCAAATAATTCAATTGAACCAAGAACCTAGCAAGGCTGACATAAGGTTGGCGAGAGAGTTCATAGATAGCCTTGTCGATAAGATAAGAACTGGGTCTTTGATAAATTCAGCTCCAGCTTTGAAACAAAACCCTACCAAATAGTTAAGCTGCTATATTTGTTGTGGGAAAACATGAAGATGATTGAGCAAACAGCTGAGGGCATGGAACAAAGGATATTCTAAACAGAGGACACAGTGACAGAGCTACAAGCCAAACTTGAGCACGCCGTGGTAGAGCTGAAAGATGAAATCAGCAGGATTGAGGACCATGAAAACGGATCCAAATAGAATATAAAGATTGTCAACTTACAGGAATACACAGGCGAGGCTACGCAAAATAATGTTTTGAACTGTGGCTTCCAAGAACCCTTAATCTAATGGTGAAGAATGACCAGATTAAAACCAATAGATGGCATCAAAGTCCTGCAATGCTTAGAGCAGAATCTGCCCCAACCCTGAGTTGTTAATAGTGTTGCATGCACTATAGGGTCAATTCATATCAGTGACAAAGCCACGAAAATGGAGGAGGGAATACATTTTCTTTTTTTCTTTTTTTTACCATTGATAATACTGGTGAAACAAGTCCAGAGATTCTGTGTGAATCTGCAAAACAAAAGGTTATTTAAGAGAGTTCACTATCTCAAATTTGGAGTATTGTAAAAAGATATATTAAATCTATATGTATCCTCAAATATTTTTTTTTTGGACATCATCTGAGCAAAACTATCTTTTTGGTGTTATCCAAGAATGATCTTTAAATGGTCATAAATGTCAAGGAATTTCAAGTGAGCATCACTGCTGTATGCTGCAGTGGAAGCTGCCGTAGGATGACTTATTAGGTGATTTCCTAGTCAGTATTCACAAGTATGTTTCCAAGCCAAGAAATAACTTTTAGTTGCTTTTTCTACCTTAAAAATGAGGTAGAGAAATCCACCTCACTTTTACCTTGCCCTGCATCATGTGGTAGACGCGTCATCAGATCTTATCCATATTTACAGTGTCAACATAAAGTTAATTGAACTAGGACAGAGAATTGATGCATGTAATAAGCCACAGTCTGACAGGAATGTACAAAAATAATATGCTTGGAGTTAATGCAGCTGAAGCACACCTCCTGGTGTGACTACTCATGTGTATGCAGCTGACTAATGCTTCTGCTTCAACACTCATGCAAGTAGAGTTGTTCACACTTCAACAGACTTCTTTTTCCCAGTCTATCCTACATCTTACATACAAAATAAATGAACCAAGACGGAAATAATCTCTTAGCCATACTTTGGGCCTTTTGGGCTTGTGTGTGTGTGTGTTATGTGTGTGTTATTTTTAGATGTTGTTTCAGTTACCTTGTGGGGAGAATCGCCCAGAAATATGCTACATTTGGGGGAGTTATAGGTACTTGTGGGAACAAACAACTGCTCCCCATGAGGACCAATTCTCTTATTGGTGTCAGGGTTTGGTTCAGGACTACGGTTTTAATGGAGTTTAGGTTTAGATGTGTGTTGGCAATGGTTAGGGTTAGGAAAAGGGTGAGGGTTAGGCCATTGAAATGAATGTGACAAGTATGGAAGTCCCCACAGGGATAATGTGACATTACATGTGTGTACTTGTTTCATTTATCACAGTTTTTCGTATATTTATTAACTCCCCGAGGACTATAATTCCTTTTGGGGACCAAAGGCAGTTATTTATTCTTAGTCAATCACTTTAGAGGTATGGTTTGAATTTACTTCAGGTTAAGGTTTGGTTTAGAATTATAATGGTAATAGTTTGGGTAAATGGCAGGGTTAGGCATACATTCAGTAACTAACATGAACATATGACAATCTGAAGTTCCAAAATGGATAGATATTGAACAAGTGTTTGTGCGTGTGTGTGTGTGAGAGAGAGAAGGGTTAGATATTTTTTATTTCTACTCGTTCAAAATAGAGACTTAGAGACATTTTTTTCAGAGTCTTTCACGTCAAAACCACAAGCTTTGATATGTATGAAAAAGAGCATATTTGATAAGCTACCACTGCAGAAATACAGGCCTATCTTAATCTTCCACTTACTGGACCTCATGGCAGCATTTGAGACAGTTAATCACTACCTCTTAGTACTGTGCCTAGAAAACTGGATCAGACTCTGGTATAATACTTGACTGAATTAAATACAACTTGAAGGGTCAGCGCACCTTTTGTGTCAGTGTTTAACTTTACATTAGGGGTGACAAAAGTCACATGTAGGATCCTAGCTAAAACAAATAAAATGGAGCAAATCAACCCAATTCTGAAATCCTTTCACTGACTACTTGTATCTTCAAGAGTAGACTTTGAGACTCTAATGTAACATAAAAACTGTAAGTTTTTAACTTCACAGATATTGCCTTTAAGGAAGAACAGAAAAGGCAAAGCCATTGTTGAATAAAACTCCATAAAAAGTTCCGTTAAATGGTTGTCACAATGTACAATCGAAACAGTGACGGTATAAAGCTATGCTACGCTATAAACAATACTGGTAGAAAACTTGTTAGGGCTTGCTGAGGAATCTTTCAATCAGGGCAGAAGTTCTACTTCTATCAGGTCACCTAAACTTGGAACCTGTGTTAGAAAAAATGACCATAGTTAAATTTCAGACGTAAATCCAGCTGATAATCTATGGTAAGACTTAACAATTTATGTTCACAGAACCTTTTCAACAAACCTTACTGATTTCAAAACTAATTTATTTTAAGTCTTTCTTCTGTCTGGACTGAGCTTACAATAATAAAAAAAATTGTTGCAAAACCTCTTTTTCTTCTATGAGACAAATACAAGAAGCAGTTAATGTTCAAGCTCATTTGGCGAGTCTTTGAATATTTGATGATTATTTAGAGGGCCATTCTCAACTCACTTGACAGATTTGTGTAAATGTTTTATTTGATTACCATTTCTGCAATAGGGGGAATCAAACAAAATACTGGAAAAATCTTTTGACGAGACAGTTTTATGTCAGAAATCGTTCTTAGATATTGGCTTTGTCAAAGCACCCTCAGTATATAATTTTGTAGTATACTTTGGACCCATCATTTACACAATGTGTATGAGAAAATTTGTTTTAGTTTCCATTTATGTGGTTTGTGACTGTGGAGTTTAACAGCTATAAAGTGTAGTTTAAGTGTAACTTTTTAGGAAAACAATTATAATAGGGGGATATATTGTCTTCTTGGCTGTTAGCCCTTGTCACCATTACCTGAAAGTTCCTGACCATTTTTTTTAGTTGTTTTTTGTTTTCCTGCCCCTCTTTGAAATTACTGAGTGGTGACCACTGATTTCTTTTTTTGTTGTTTTATATAATTTTAAAATTATAACCAAACATAAAAAAATTTATATTGCCTCAATCACCTTTCTTGCCTTTATTCTAGGCATTCCTTGTCCTATAATTGTGGCTTGGGCTATTGGAAAACTGTATTATGAAAATGAAAAGTAAGTATCTTTGTTGAAATCTATCAATTTTAGTATTCTTTAAATATACAATTCGTTCTTTCTCTTTTTCCTATCAACAGATGCTGGTTTGGTAAAGAACCTGGAAAATACATGGACTATATTTATCAGGGACCAGTTATTTTTGTGCTTCTGGTTAGTGGCTTTAAATATAACTATATATGTGTGTTTAACTTTTACACTTGTACAAATCAGTGTGACAATCAGCTAGAGGGCATTTTTTTGTATTCATATTTATTTGTAATTTTAAAATTTTCAATTTGTTTGGGATGGTGATTCACTGGGATTTTAATGATTTTCATATTCAAAAGTGAAAATATTATACAGAACTGTAGAAAAATTAAATATGGCAACGTCTTGTAATGGGTGGCATTCAGACAAGAAGAGGCAGCTTCACTTTAAAGGACTGTTTTTCTTTGGAGTTGGAAGAAAACCACTATAATTCATAACAAATCAATTCCCACATAGTGCTAAAGGCATTATTTTAATATATATTTGCCTATACAGTAAGTGACTGTTATGTCAACTGTTCAGGTATATTGAGCTTCTCTATATGTTCTGACCAGTGCTGTTACTCTAACATCCATTTGTTGTCCCATTTCTATCATCATCATTGAAAAGAATATTTTATATGAAGAAGCTATGAAGTGATTTTGAGTGAGTCATAAAGCAATCATAAATGCCAACTGTAGCTGTCTACCATAAGACATTAAGCAGTCGTATCATAATATGCTTCCTAGTCTTTTGATGACAATGTAAACATTTTTTGACAGAAACAATCTGGTACTACATAAAATTATAGGGTGTTAGAGGCTTGAATACCAAGCAATTCAAATCATTAAATGGCCAGATAGTTCGGTATTGCCTTTCTGTATTAAAAGCCATGATTTAAAGATGTCTTCTTGTCAGAGTAACACATTTTCAAATGACTTACCTGAATTTTAAATGCAAGAGTTATACATCAGTCCAAACATCTGGCTAAAACAGTTTTGCCTAGATTATGTGCAATAATTTTATATTGCAGTTTCAAAATTTTTATGGCTTTCTGTCTAAGGCTTAAATTCAGTAGTGACATATTTTAAGAATTAAACCATTTCAAAAGTGATTAAAAGAATAATTTTGTGTAGAATCCTGATTTTGGATCTATGAAATTATATTTGCTTTTTCAGGTAAAATTACATAGAACTTGTCATCGTGCACAACCCCTTACAATCATGCCGTATCACCACAACTACCTCTGTTCCTCTGATGTATTGTGCCTCTCCATATCGTATTTTGAGTTGTGCCTTGACTTGTGCTGTTCTGTGCGCCAAAGCTTGCAGACAGCTCAGTAAGCTTACCAAGAGCTCACTGAGCTGTCTGTTCTCACCAGATAATTGTCATCCACGTTCTCCACTGCAAGTCATTACCGCAGAGCTCAACTATGCTTTTCTCTGTCTTTCCAGATAAACTTTGTTTTCCTCTTCAACATAGTAAGAATTCTCATGACCAAGCTAAGAGCTTCAACCACATCAGAAACAATTCAGTACAGGTAAAAACACTTTGTGTTTGCTTGTGTTATGTACTTCTTCTGATGTGTGTACACAAAATCTGTATTTCATTTGTGGTTATGAAAAATGTATTTTGGCATGTTACATCTAAAACATTCAGACTTCAGACAAGTAGACACGTTTATAGGCAAGTATTCACACTTAGCATTTAATCCTAAATTCAAAATGACCAGATCGCATTAACCCGCTCTACTTAACAAACTCATATTCCTGTCACGCAGTGGCAGCTGAGCAGTAAACTCAACATTGGCTCTGCCGATATCTCTGTAAACTCATCAGTCAGGCCTTGGTATTACCATGGGTACACTGAATATGTTAATCTGAATTTTCACATCAGGTTAACATTGTCCAACACTTCAGACAAAATTTTTTAACAGAAAATACTTATTTATTGAGTCAAACTGAACAACGTTTATTAAATGTATACAGAAAAAGAGCTTCACCAAAATGTACAGTTCTATTTATTTAATTTGTTTAGTTTTGTTTTTTTCACTGGTCTGTCCGATTTTCCAAGGACCAAGGACACTTTCCAGATGTTGAAGGAGTTGTAATCTGGCTGTAGTTTCTGATGATAGAACTGGAAAAACCAGGAAAAATTCTGTGACTTTTATCTTTGTTGGAACCACATGTACAAAAATGTATACTAGAAAGGTCATTGATTGTTAGTGAAGCTTACAGTTCTTCACTTCAGCCTAGAGTCAGTTCTAGAGGAGGTGCTGGAGAAAAAAAATGGACATGTTTTTTGTGGTCTGCAAGATCTCTGGAGAAGATGAGGTTCTCATTGATCTACACAAATGAAGAAGAAGCCCACCCCCAGAGGTCAGGAGGATAATAAGATAATGCCAGCTGCAAGGGATCCCTTAAAATATTTCTCTATGGATTCGATTTCCTGGCAACTGCTGTTGTACAGAGGGCTGGTAGGTAGTAGACCTCCAGGTAGGAGGTCCATAGAATATAGAGATGGAGAAAACATGCTTTACTCTTAAACAACTGTTTGAGGTCTAAAAACTCGTAAAGACATTACTCAGATATATAGGATCAATAGATATGTTGTCTCATACAGGTGAGCTAGAAGGAATGGCAGACTGAATACAGGAGGAGAGGCTGTAAGAAGACCAGGCTTTAACTCACTGCTGTTTCTCCGCCGATTTCGATGCTCCGCCACTCAGCAAACCTAGCAAATAGTTAGAACTTTAAGAGAAAACCTCTGCAATTTTGCACATCACCTGAGAACCTTAGTATTAAGGCATTACTCAGATGAGATGGTGACTCCTGTGGATTAACATTATTAGTGGTATTTTTTGCAGAAGTAGTTCATAATACAGAATCTGTTCCAAAGCTTGATTTGTAGCCGCTTGTTGGCCTGAGAGAAAATGGAAAACAACATCATGAGTCTGAATTATGGTTATCTGATTAGAGAGAGTTCTCTCGAAAGCGTGAGCTGGGTCAGTTTGGCCTGGTTGTTCTGACATGGTTTTGTTAAGGGTTCTAACCCACTTGCAGAAATAACTCTCAGTAGGCAAAAAATCACTTCCAGAGTTTTACAACATAGTTAAGGGATGAGGTTAGTTTCACTAGAGAGATATTTCTCAGGAGCAGTCACAGGTAAACCTTGGAATGCAGAAACATAAGAGTTACTGTGGACACAAGATGAGGCTATAACAGTCTCAGAAGGTGTCACTGCTTCTGACCCATTTGCAGAAATTACTTTCAGTTGGCAAATAATCACATCCAGAGTTGTACATCATAGGTCAATGAGGATAAGGTAAGTTTCAAAGGAGAGATGTTTCTCAGGTACAGTCACAGGTGAACACTGGAATGCAGAAACACAAGAGTTACCAGGGACACAAGAAGAGGCTTTATCAGGCTCAGAAGATGTCTTGACATTTACTATTACTGGTTAACACCCATGCAAAAAGTGACTGGAAACTGGCTTGCCTTATACAGCTCTGGTTGATAAGTAATATGTTGCAGAGGAGAGCACCTGCAAAAAACGAGTCCCAGCCAGTAGCAGTCTCCAAGATGCCCTATGGTGCAGAATCTATAGTTGGACATTCACCAAAAAGTTGAAAAACCCCGCAGTAGGTGTGGACTTGCATGGCAGTGTGCTACAACATGCAAAACTGATCTCTTATTACCGGTAGCTTATTCTATGGGCTTATTAGAAAGCACACTACAGTTAGCAACAAAAGCTGGATTAGACCTACCTGATATAGCCAAGACTGTCACTACAGCAAGACGTATTGTAAGTATTTTTGCCCTGACTTAATACAATGTCGTCATAGAAGGAAGCATCGACTCGACTTTGACTTTTACTGTCAAATAGTGGACTTGGAAAAAATCACATCTCGTTAATGCCCTAACCTGTAGAACAGAAAAGAGAAAATCCAAACCCCATTCCCTGACACATATTTTTTGAGCGTAATTTTTCCCCCAGGCTGTTTCATCCTGGACAGAGACCCATATAGCCTTTTTAAATCCTACACTGCTTCTTATAACAAAACGATGTGGAAAGCTACAAAAAATGAATATGATGTGCACTCCTAAGAAAGAAAAAGGTCCTGTCTACTTATTGTTTAAAGGGGTCTATAATACAAGTCATTGGCTGTCATTTTACAACCAAGATCAAATTAATCTGCCATAATAATTGTTCCAACTTAATCTTCTTGCCTTCTATGTTTGCAGCTGTGTTTTTATGGTTCAGTCACCTTTCAAAGAACCAATATGCTTTGCAGTAAATGCTGTGATCACAGTAGAAAGGTTTTGGATTAGATGTGTCTGTCATGCTTAAGACCCATATCAGAGTGAGGTTGGGGTAATTACAGTGCTTTTTGCGAAAAAGTCTCTTCTATTTAGTCCTACCATTAACCACTGGAAATAAGTGTAAAACCCTCTCATGTGTCTGATTGCTAAAACCCCAAGGCTTGTTTTCAACACCTGCTATCAATGTACATTTTTTCCTTTTAACTTCCAATGGGAACACATTGTAGTATCAAAGTGTTTGTGGTGTCAAAGCTCAGAATATTTATAGTGAAATTGAAGGTTTTCTGGCTGAATGGGACAGAAGTTTGTTATTGTAAGCCTTGAGGAGATAAACGGGTGGTATAGTAATATGTAATTCATGATCCGCGTTACCTGTCTGCCTTCAAGTGTCAGCCCCTATTTTTTCTAATTATAATCTAATTATATTTGGAAAATTTTAAATAAATAACTTTAATCTGAATTAACGTCACTGCTCTTTTAGTTAGTACTTTTAAAGCTTACATAAAGTCTCCAACAATGAAAAAAAAAATGTTTTGTGTTGAATAATTATAATATACAGTAAAATGTATCTATATTTCCACCTCAACACCCCGGGTCACTTTACAGCAACCAGGGGTCTGTTTCACGAAGCAGGTTTACCGAAAGCTCTGTTTTCTAGACATGAAAACGGGGAATCTCTTAGTTTTCAGTTTCACAAAGAGAGTTTCCTTAACCCCTGTTTTCGTCATGGTAGTAACATTCTCCCAAGAGCTAACCTGGCCAGGAGCAGGTTTTCTTCAGTGAACTCAGAGTGTCCTCTGTCTCCACTCTCCTTACAGCCAATCACGCTGTTTTATTTGTCCTGATTTAGTACAATTTTTGTCATAGTGTTGTGTATAAAAATATATATATCATTCCCTAGGTCCATTGCACACATTAGGTTTTAAAAGCAAACATTGCATGTCCGTTTCACAAAGATCTTATTAAAGAATGATCGGCACTGTTTCACAGAGAATTAAATGTTTATAGGGAGAGGATTCTACAACTCATTTGGCAGGATATGGGATTACTTGTTTTTGGTTTGTTTAATATGAGTGAGATGTGGATCATTTTATGTTTTATTTAGAGTACATGAAGAACTACTGAAATTGTTTTCAGATTACACATAAATAGATTCATTAATTCAGCGGGGGAAAAGGAATTACTTTAGGGTTTGGATTAGGATTCACTTGATGGTAACCTAATGAGACTACTGGCATAATCTGAAGCCATTCTATGGGCCTGATAGTCGCTAATGACAACCATTTATTGAGATGATAACATCCGAAGTGTGGCTGCAAACAGCCACTTACTATGTACTGTATAAAAGAAGACTGAATAAACATAAGGAGAAACCCATGAGATGATGCACAGGTTCTTTATATTAGAAGAGCATTTTTAGACCTGCTGCTAGATGATTTTACATAGATAGATACATTGATGTACTAACATTCAGGAAACAATCCGGTCATATTATCATGATAACAACCAACGGCAAGCCGTTTTGAAATATACTAGTTTTACAGAATATGTATTTCTAATATCTGAAAAAAACATTTTTACTTAGGCTAAATGACCATTTCATACAAAATGCCATTCTATTTTATCTAGAACAAAGATTCTGGATGTCTATAAATTAAGTTCAGAGCTCTATCGTACATATATCAGCATTTGTATTATTTTAAATAAAAAAAAATGATTTCAGATATCATATATATACTTTCAGTCAAGGTGATAAATGTCAGAAAGGCCACCTAAAATGTGTAAACGATTTCTAGATATATAAAACTTAATTCTCACTAGTATTATTTTGCTTTTTTTACTTTCTAAAATTAAATTTCTACTACAAAAATGTAATTTTGAAAATATGTTTTACCAGTTAAGTCTAGGGGTGGGATTTCGATCAGGAAGAATCTTATATTAGTGTTTTACAAATGGAACAATAGAGAGCTTTCAATAAATGTAAAAACGGCCTGCCATAGGACACTTTAAATAAACTTACACATTAACTCGAGCAGTAATCTTCTCCTTCGCCATCTTTCTCTCCTTTGCAGCTGTAGCGTTGTTTCTCTGTCATTTAAACGCATTCTCCTTTTTTATTTTAATTTAGTGTTTTTATTTCTGCATTAAAATCTCTAGTTCCAGTGGGATGAAATAAGCACTTCCTGTTGCCTGTTGTCATGGTGACCCATCGAATCGGTGCTCCGCTGATGATGTCTTTTCATACTTGTTACGCACACACTAAATTCAGAGTGGTTTTACTTGGAGTCGATTGAACTAATTCATAGCAGCTGTTGTAAAACCAGAGACTCAGTGTTCGTTAAACCTGCTTCGTGAAACGGACCCCAGGCCTGTATATTACCCTAAACCCAACATCTCCAAAGTGAAACATGATGGTGTTAGTGTAGTATTGGACAAGGAAACACATCAGAGTTGATGCTAAGAAAGGTTAATCTGAATACAAGAAAAACAAACAAACATTGAGAAAGCAAAAGACGAGTAAAAATCACAATGTAATGTAATGTAATTAATTTCCCTTCTGGATCAATAAAGCATGGCTGAATCAAACTGAATTTTGAATCTTTTTCAAGACTTGACATGAATGGTTTGGAGATATTCTTCATTCAAACTTTCCAAGTCTAAATTATTTTGAATGAAGAATAGGAAATAAATGTCAGTCCATACATCTGCACAGCTGTTAGAGATACATACAGTAGATCCCAGACGGCTTGCAGCTGCAGTGCAAGGTTATTTAACCAAGTATAGCTCAGATGTACAAAAGTACAGGACTTTTGTCAGATTTTTGTTTGAAAAAAATTGAATTTAATGAATCAACATCCTCTTGAATTATGCACAACTTTTTCCTGATCTATCATTAAATCCAGATAAAGTCAACAAAGTTTGTCCTTATACCATAAAACATGGAATATAGATGCTTAAAGATGATAGTCACTTCTTATGAGGAGTTTCCTCTTTTGAAAAAAAAAAAAAAAGTATTATTTCTGTTAATATTGTGAGGTAATACTGGAACAACAAGTTTTTTTTTCTTACAGTGTCATATGATTTACAGTGCAATGTATATTCCACCTTCTATTTTTATAGCCTGAGAAAAAAAAGTGTTCATGTCAATTTATTGTCTTCACAGAAAAGCTGTAAAAGCCACTCTCGTCTTATTACCTCTGCTGGGTATCACCTACATGTTGTTCTTTGTCAATCCCGGGGAGGACGACATCTCACAAATTGTTTTTATCTATTTTAACTCCTTTTTACAGTCTTTTCAGGTAAGAATCATTCTCTCTTATAGAGTATCAATAGCTAAAAAGTACAAAACCTACACATGTGAATCAGTTTTTATAGCAGAGTTGTATCATGCTTTTGAGTCGCTGTTGAGCTCTCTGGTGGGAGGATCATTTCAGTCAAGACTCTTGCTGTGCTTACAATGTTTACATCCCTCCTCGCCTTATGCTCTGTGCTCTCAGCTGTCAAGATTAGCTGGTCAGTGTGAGCTTGATTTCTGCCCTTTAGCTTTTACTTTTTGTGATATATATTTTTATTATCTTTGAAATAAGAAAGGATGGCCTAGGAAAATTTTTGGACACTTTTATAATTCAAAAATGTGCTTCTAGAACATAAGGGTACTGACCTTTCCAAGTGAATTGTGTCTAATCTAATTTATGAACAGTTGAAGAAATTGGGTCTTATTTTTTGCTATTTTTGATCATGTGTCTTGTTCTACAGGGATTTTTTGTGTCAGTGTTTTACTGCTTTCTAAATGGAGAGGTAAGTAAATAATATTTTTTTAACAAAACAAAAATTGTAGTTTTTTTTATTTATAATCTTAATCATTTCCTTTATGTATTTGCCGATATCCTTCCTTAAATGTGAGCTAACAACAGCAGCGTTAACGAAATGAATGCCAATTAATGTTCTTAGTCATTTGGTCAAATAGTCATACTTCAATATTGCTCTTTCAACATGATGGGAAACCTTCAATACCTGCAACAATCATAAAAGGATTTAAAAAAAAGGCAAATTCATAGAATGCCAGCACCTGTCTGGGAGCCATCAGTTAGTTTTAAGATGACAAACTTTAGGTTAATTGGAATAGTTAACACATTGGCTAGGGTCTGATTTGAAGCTGTAAAACAACTGTTGTACTAGAAAATATTAAAGGGGTCATAGAATGATTATATAGGGTATTTGGTGCTGGTCTTTAAGGTCTCTGAATAGGGTGTATAACATTGGTTGGGCTGAAAATGGCATATTTGCTGTTCTATGAGCCCTAATACAAGCCTGGTTAAAAGCTCTAGAATGAAACAACAGCTTTTCTTGTTTTTATGCTATGCTCATAATATTTAGATGAGCTGTGCACTGATTGGTTGGTTTACAACGAATGAAGCTGCTGAGCAAAGACGAATCATGGCAACAAGGAATCACTCACTGAAAGATCGAAATTATTGATATGGTAGGGGGAGCAGACGTCCTCCTTTTCCCGGACATGTCCTACTTTTCATACCTAGAAAAATGTCCGGGGGGAATTTTGAAACCGTCCGGGGTTTTGGTCGACTACAGTGCAGCACGTAGTCGAAACTCACCCTACATTCGAACAATGTCGGTTCGAATGCCCAAGTGCTCGGTTTTGCATTCTATGACCCCTTTGAAAGCAACACAAAAAAGGCAAGAATTTGTTTTTATAGATTTTCTTTTTCATATTCCTATATCAGCGTTATTTAACATTTAGATTACTTTAACAGTGTTGTCTTTACATACTATAATTCTTAAAGGATTATTTGCTAACTTTAATATTCTTCAACATTTGGTAATAAACTGTTAAGGTTTTAATGATCTGTAGATACATGTGTCTTTTCATGTTACTATTACACTTTTTAAAAAGTGTATTTGTTTTGAAGTTTTGAATTTAACTTAAAAGTTGGACATTTTGAGAAATATATATGATTTCCTTCAAGACAAAAATTAGATAACATGGTCAACACCACCACTGTATTATTCATTAGAGTAGTTCTTTAAAAACAGACAACTGTAAGGTACCAATTATGAAAACAGCTGAGAAGCTCACCCTTTCTTAGCCTGTTATCATTATAGTCTAAATTTAACAGAGATCATTTGGGAATACATTTTGATTGTTTCTAGAATATATCAGTCTGTCTATATACTGTATATAGATATATCTATATATTTAAAATATATAGAGTGTGAAGCATGGGGGTGAGAATATTATGCCATGGGATCTGTGTTCTGCACTGTGGTGCAGTGCTAGTCCACTAGACTGAATGGTAAAAGAGGAAATCTTTTTTATCAATATCTTAGATGAGCAAGCCAAAAGTATTAATGAGTCCATTAGTAAAACAGTAACTTAACACAATCTGCTAAGACAATAAAATATAATTAAACATTACAGGTTGCTCTTTAAGTTACATAGTATCACTTAGGAAAGCTTAAGAATGTCAAGAGTTCTGAGGAAAGGTCTGTTAAGATGTATGAAAACCTGATGACCTGGGTGTTGACTGTAGGGCATCTGCAAACACTGTTTCCACAAAAATGTTCTTTTGGCTATACTTTCCTTTCCCCCATTGACTACTGAAGATGAAAACCATTGACCCTATAACCCTGGATGAACAATAGGCATAAACTATATTTATGTCATGGTTCTCCCCTTTAGGGACTCTTAAGTTTTTTGTTTTCAGCTATTCGTTATTGTGTTTTGTTGATCTTTGGTTTATTTTCCATTATATTGCTGCAGTGTTTAGTTACTCTCTGTTGCCCCGTTGTGCTTGTTTCCTTTCCCCTTGGCTTCCTTCTATTTAGTTTCACTCACACATTCTCCATATTCAGCTCATTAGGCCATCCTTTGTACTTTTCCTTTTTATATGCTCCACCTCTGCAGTCACTCAGTGATGGTTCCTTTTTTTGTTGTTTTGTTTTTGTACTCGTCTCTGGCTTCCCACGTGAGTTTTCCCTGACGTTTTGGTTTTTTGGGTTCTCTGTATTTTTGGATTTTTCCTCAGTTACTTCATGAAATTTGCGAGATTCACCTCTGCCTTCTGTCTCTGTCTCTGTCTCTGCGTTTGGGTCTTCAGCCAACCTCCATAAAAAAGGAGGAGAGGTACATATTGTGTTGATGCAAACTGTATCATGCCATCAATTGCATTTGTCGAACATTACAGGTTCGCTCTGCTGTGAGGAAACGGTGGCACCGCTGGCAGGATAACCACACTCTTCGAGTACGAGTGGCTCGAGCCATGTCCATCCCCACATCTCCGACCAGGATTAGCTTTCACAGCATCAAACAGACTACAGCTGTATGAACATGGGAACAAACTTTATTCCCTTTACACATGCTTATCCACAGAAGAGCCTTCATCCTTTTTAATCCAATAATACAAATAAGACAGAGAAAATTACTTCTAAGTCAACAAGAAACTAGAATTTGCAGTTCTGGTTCAGGATTTTAGAAGCTGCATTGTTTTATGAAAATGTACAAAGCCTAAGATAAAAGATTTGAAGTTATCCCAAGAGAATTTTGCAACAGCAACAAGTCACCTTTTTGAAACATAGCAGTTCAATGTTCCTTCTGATGTTAACTCACTGCTTATTGTTTATTAAGGAGAAGACAAGAATTTAAGAGGCAGCTAATACACTTGTAGGAAGGCCACTCTCTCATTATGCTAAAAGAGGGCAATCAATAATACTTGAATTTTAATTGAACACAATGCATCCATTTGATTAACTTTTTTTAAAGGGTTAAAAACAATTATGTAGAATTGAGATTGGATTTTTCCAGGGAATATTTTGTTTTGTTGTTCAGTGCAGGTTTACATATTGTAATGGTACTTTTTTCAAAAGGTTGTACTTTCCTATCTATTCTTTGTGTTTGTTCAAGCCACTATTTTTTTCTTTTCTGTGCAAAAACAAACACCAGGGTGCACACAGAAACAACATTCAAATTCAGGGCCTGTCTGGTTCCCCAGAAGCCTCATTCCCAATTCATCTTTATTCTAGAATCTAGATGTTTAAATATAAGATTATATCTATTACTTTAAGAAGTGAAAGTGATTCCTAGCCATTTATGCAATATTTGCATATAGTGGACAAAGTGGCATGCATGGATTTATCATGCATGCAGAGTGAAAGCAGATTAAATTCTTTTTGGCTGTATGAAATCCTTGTGGCTTTCTCATAATCAGTGTCACAACTAAGCTTCTGCTGCTGAGGAAGGAAAGCCTGATGGATTGGGAACTAGTCACTTCCCTAAAGAGGCGCCCTGGTCAGGTCAGCATATTTCTCTCAATGTAATGCCAGCTTTTACATCTCAAAAGGCTTATCCCACAAAGTAACCCAAACAGCAATGTGTTTGCTATGGTGTCTGCTTAAAAAAATATAACTGCTGAACTATTGAAAGCAGATGATAATTGTTAATATATATTTTTTTGGAAGGTATTTTAAAAAGTATATGTAATTTGTTGATGACCTAAAATGCTGCTGCTGTTAGAAAGTATGTCATCACACCATTTGAATAATTTCGAGTATTGTTAAACTTGTAAAATGGGTGTGTTGAGTTTTGAATTTCTTCTAATAGTTCACATGAACTTCTCCTAACGATATATTGTTGTTGTTGTTGCTTTTTTTGTCAGTGTTATGAATGATGTCTAGTTTGTCTGTTCCCTAACAAAACTTGATCAGGTGCATCTTAGTAAATAAGAATAAGTATAATCTCATTTGGTTCTATATATTGTGACTTATAGCTTATAAAAATCCGCATTTTGTTTTCTTTCAAAAACGTATTTACCACTGAAGGCCAAAAAAAACATTTTTAACATAGCATTTGTTCTAGTATTTGAATTCAGTAGCCTACTTAGTTTAAACACTTTTTGTATGATTAAGGGCATCAATGCAGCATGGCATGAGTGCTGTCAGCTCATAGTGGCCTTTATCTCATCTGCATTTTGGGATGTGTCGACTTTCGTCTTGTTCTACACAATATCTTAATGGGTTCTGTATGGGATTTAGGTCAAGTAAGTTTTTCTTGGCAATCAAGCTGAGTGGCCATTCAACCAGGTTTTTGTACTTTGAGCATTGTGAGCAGGATCAACATATGAAACTGGTAAATTAACTAAAATCCTGATAAATCTTTTAAGCAGAGAGAATTAGTAAGTGCATTAAAATGTATATATAGAAGGGTCTGCTGAGTTTCGACTTAGACAACACAAACAAGAAATAGACCAGCCTGAACCACCCTGTCTAGGCATTTTGTGCTTAGGGAGTGCTTAAATGGACTATATGTGACATTTTGGTATGTAATTTTGATGGTATGCAATATTATTGATTTGTAATGTGTTTGTATACACACACCACACACACACACACACACACATATATATATATATATATATATATATATATATATATATATATATATGCACACAAACACACAGATTGCATGATGAATCGAGAACGTCATGCTTAAAATGTTACTTTTTCCTTAAAGCTTGATGAACATGAATAATAAATAAATGAAAAATATTTAGTTATTTATAAAAAAAAAAAAAACGTATTGAATTCTTAAATTTTGCCACTTGTAAATTTATTGAATATGTGGCAGTTTGGGCTTTCCAAACATTCAGGAATTTTCTCTCGATGTGAAAAATGTGTCATGATCGGGCCTGTGTTCCTATTGGCCAGTTTTAAAAGGATTGACAGCTGAGTTGTAATATTACGTGCGTTCCAGAGGAGCAGCGCCTCACCTAGAAAATGGAAAAGAGCTTACGTCTGTGCCAATGGGCAGGGTTAAAATGGCAGCTATCTCGTCAAATTTCAGTAGTGCTGTCGAGCTTTCAAGACTTTTAACCCCGCCCATAAGCACAGCCGTAAGCTCTTGTACAGTTTCCAGGTGAGGCGCTAATCAACTCGAACACACATGCTGTTGGAGTGAAGCAGTCTGTGCTAGTGGGTTGTGAGCACCTTTGCACAAAATGTAACCATTCAGCAGTCAATGCTGTTGAGATCAGACTCAAATGATATGTACTACTGTAGGTCTCACCCTATTGGTTTGCACTTTGAGTCTGTTTGTGGCTGAAATTCAGATTATAGGCTCAAGGTGATCCCCAGAAGTGAGCAAAATACTTTCTAGAAACTTGTAAGATGAACTGTGGAGGGGGAAAACCCCACAACTCAGAATCTCACCCATTTCTGTGTCTAAAGGTATCCTTTGTGTGACAGCCGATACAAAATATTTGAAGCCTTGAGGAGATAAGGCCACAAGAACTGGAATAGGACCACCTGTAAGGTCTTGTTAACTCCAGGATAACAGAAAAAAAGGGACTTTAGGAACCAGCTCATCCAGCACATGGACGAACCTTGGAAAGGAAGTTGATAACAGGTTGGTCTGTGGTGGCTTCCCTAACCTCTTTCTCAAGGTCCAGCATGGTCAGCGACAGTCATGTAGTGTCCGGGAAGATAAATTCCTCTGCTCCACTGGACACTGAATTGAAAGTTTCATGAATCAGTGTCAGGGCATAAGGTTTAATGCTCTATTGTCCCAGGTCTTTAACAAAGGGTAAAGTTAAATCAACCAAAGAAGAGAGCCCACCCCGCCTGTCTGGGTTTCAGTCTCTGCTGAGTTTCTGTCCTCTGACGGGCAAGAAATTGTTCTGTAGCCCCCTCCAACCAATGTCTCCACTCATCCAGAGCCAGCTTGACTCCAAAAAGCTTTCCAGACCTCCTTAGAGGTAGTCCTGGAGAAAAATATACAGTTGTGAGCTTTGCTATCCCAACATCTTTGGCTTAGAATTGCGTTCACCCCCTGCTAGATACATCAACTTCAACAATGGACTGAAGGTGTGGGTTGGGGGAATGGACAAAAGGTGCTGAAGAGAACAAACTAAAAAAGCCTTGTCAGCCTGATAATTCCAACAGAAATGAACACTGGACAAGGTGAGAAAAAACTGTGAGGAACCAACTGGTCTATAGTTATGAATGCATTGGAACAGAGAGTTAGCCATTCAGAAACAGCTTTCAGATGGATCCCTGTGTATTTGATCTGTATACCGAGAAATAATGTTGATGACTTACAGTATGAAATTAGCATTTCTCAGATTTGACAGGAGGACATGGAGCTACACAGTTCTGACTTTCTGAGTTTTTTAGGATTTTGGAATGAATGAGAATTTTGTCCAGGTTACATAGAAACAAAACAACTTTTTCTCTCATGACATGTTTAACTAGGGTCTTGAAAACTTCTAGCAGGGTTCTGTTTTTGTTGACTTGTTGGCCATTTTCAGATTTACTGGGATGCACCTGCAGGGTTGTTGTAGGGGTTGGGGTTTGGGTTGGTTAATAAGACGGGAAAAAACTGTGTAAATGATTATAAAAGATGTATAAAACATGAAGTATTTAACAATGTTTTTGTGAAATTCTCATTGCTGTCTTTTGTAAATTTATGTTGAATTACAGCAAATATTAAATCAGTGTTCTGGTCCGCTACACTGATGGTGTAAAAACTGGTGTAAAAACTATACCTTTAGATTTGTTGTGTTGTAAATATTATATTTTCTTCACTGCAGAGTATGAACCTGTAAAACTGTACTTTAGCATGTCTTTCCAGGATATCGACATGTTACATGAACCTAAAAGGACTACATGACTCTGTTTCAACACTATGTTCATAGAGTTTTATAAAAATAATTTGTTTAAACTCACCAAAGAGAGAACCCATGTTTACTAATTTAACATAGATATTGCATATTTTTATGTTGGCAGTGGACTTCGTCAGTAAAATCAGTTTTTAACATTACAATTACATCAGTTTCTGTACATAAAGTGTAATCAACACAGTCTGATGCCAGATCTTCAGATTATAAGGAAAAAAACCATATTGCCTTACAAACAAGAAATACATTTTAGAGGGAAAAGAGCTGTTGTCTCAGTGAATTCAAATAAAACATTAAATGTATTTTTCATTGAATTTTTGCTCATTTCTTAACCAATCTACATGAAAGCAAAATGAAGATTTTCTATTTCCTTGGAGGTTCTAAGGAAATATGTCTCTAGCAAAATCATGAACCAGTTGCTAGTGCTAAGATGTTATAGATTTACTTGTAATAATGCCTCATATGCTATTTCTATGTTTTAGGATTCCTTTGAAAACATGCCAGAAAAAAGTCTTGAGTTCTCTCTAGCCAAGCAAAACATGGAATAATGCTCTACTGCCTTTTAATCACCCATTGCTATACTTTGTCAGTCAACCGGTTGGCCTTATATTTGTTCTTTACTTAGATAATTATAAAAACTTTTATTAAATCAAGAAGCCTGTTTACACACAGGCTTCTTGATTTAAAAAAAAAAAAAAAAACATTTTATAGATTTAATAGAAAATGAAATAGACATATTTCAAAGGAAGATAAATTAATGAAAAGGCAAATTGTTTTAAGATAATACCAGGCTTAAGCTTGTTTGGCCCTATAGGTTTAAAGGCCACCTTGCCATCATGCTAACCTTTAGCCCTAGAAAATCTCTCTTCTTAATGAAGTCAAATAGAGGGTGGGAATTTATATTTTTAACAGGGGTGAGTGTTATGTTGGACTTAATTGTATCACAAATGAAATACTAGCAAAAATAATGTTAGATAAAAATGTTTTGATAGTTAAACAACAGTAGGAATAATTGTTGTGTTTCTTTTTTACATATAAAAAATAAGCTTGTATAGTCTATGTTTTTAAACCAGGTTATCACACCTGGGAATCTTATTCAGGCCCATGCCCAATAATCATAAGATATATAAAATGTTTCACAAATTACCCTAAAATATATCAATTGCTATTAGTTTCAGTGGTTTTGTTTTTTGTTGCTTCCAAATAAATTAAATACATCTTCTGAGAGAGAAGGAAACTAAATCTTTACATGTTGTTTGTTTATATGTAAAAACTGTTAATATTATTTAAAAAAAAATGCCAGTGTAAATGAGTAATGAATAAAACAGATCCTTAGAGAGAGTGCTTGCTAGATGTAGTTTTTTTTTACATTTCAGGCAGAGGCTTGAATGAAATGGAGCAGAAACTGCAGCCTTTGCCAGCAACCCTCAGGACACATCTAGCTTTACATCCTCAGACAAAGAGCTGGGACTCTAATATACCATAACGAATGCTTGTTGAGTCAACTAATACTCTTGGTAGTTGTCAGCATTATGAAAAGAAAACAGATGTCATTGCTTTAATGTTGACTAACACAAATTTAATCCTTTCAATGTGAAATTGCATTTTAAAAGTTATGAACTTATCTGGACATTTGGAGAGCACTCCTTGGCTTCTACTAGATTTTAAATAGTGCGCTGTTGTAAGTCTGATTAGCAGTCCCTAACCTTTTTCAGGGTTTGAGATTTAAATGTTTTTAAGAATATAAGCCAAAAAAGAACACAATATGATATATTTATTCATCTTAAATTATGAGTATTGTTTTAATATATGAATTGTTTTTCAATTACCTTACTGTATAATTGCATGCTCCAAGGTAAGGCTAAATTGGTAAATAAAGTGTTGAAATTCTCTCAGCAAAAAGAGAGCAGATGTAAAACTGGTACATCATACCTTCAAACGACTTTTATTTTAATATGAATTTTAATAAAAGAAGTATAACCTTGCTATGCTATTTATTGACAGAAAAATAACAGGTACAAATATATGGTTTGACAAAATCATTCTTGAAAAACAACATGACAGATAAATTGGTGAATCGGCTGTAAAGTAGAGTAGATTCTGAAATGATGAACAGGAGTGAAAGAAATAACAAAAATAGGTTTCTGTAATACTCCACAATAAAACTGCAAATTATTTGGTTTCTGAAGAATGAGACTGTTTGCCTGGAGGAATCTAAAGAAGCTGAGGTCAGATATTGTTGCTGAAAACACTTCCTAGACCTTCAGGCCTTTTTGGACCCACAATAATCTAATTTATAAGATTTATGAGAAATCCATGCAGTATATATTTGGCCCATCAGAAAAAAACAATCCTAAAACATGTTAAGGAAATAAAAGATTAAATGCGGCAGCTAAAATGTTAGGTGCAAGGAATAAAAAAACCATACAGTAAATACAGAGAGAGAGAGAGTATTTCTTTCTAAAGAAAAACTGACATAATTCTCCCAAAACCTTGTTGATTGTTGTGT